ATACATATGGTGCTACTTTGTTATTGACTTTAATGTTAGTGTGCAAAACACATCTCTGTCCTTATAATTTGTATTAGTCTTATTTGTTCATTTAATAACAAATGATTTATTGCTTTGGTTCCCAATTTACGTGATATAAATGCTTAAAGGGATCATTTGAAGTCATCACTGTGTTACATATTATATTAAAATTCTTTAGTGTATCTTTTAGCTAGCAAAATAAAATCTAGTATGAAGCAGTGCCTCAAGCAACAAAAGTAATTGTGTCAGCATTGCTAAGGAGAGCAAGTGTAGCAGCACTTATACAGAGAAAATGGAGTTATTTATTAACAATTTGATTTCAAATAGATACTACTTAATTCAATTAATTTACATTGATTATAAGTTACAACATTAATAATATTTATGTGCCAATTCTATGTAACTGGAGAATTGTTTGATACATGTGATACGATTTCCAAAAGAATAATAATTTGTTTTATGGTACTACCCATGCTATCACCATTTAAATAAAATAATATAACAGTTATAGTAGAGAGACACAAAGACTGATGAAGTAATATAAACTCAGTGCAGTAGCAATGTTTCCTATATTTGTAAGTCTCTTCTAATAAAGGACGTGGCAAGATTATTTGTCTTTTCTAGAGAAGTAGAATCTTGTACTCAAAAAAGAAAAAAAAAAAACTAAACTAAAATGTATAGAAGCACTTTAACTTGCTCCTGGAACCTAAACTCAAGAAAAAAATGTCCACATCTATTAAGAGTTTCTATTCATTCACCCACTTAATCTATGGTCTAGAAAAATCTTAAGATCCAATACAGAATGTTATTTCAGTAAGTGATGCACTTATACATGACAGTGTTGTCTGATGCTACAATCAACAGCACATTTTCCAGTTCATATCCAAAATGAAGCCTTGTGTGAGACATCTTCCAAAATTCCCTACAGAGATTCATTTCCAAAACAGTTTTGAATGGATATTACTTTAAAATTTTGATTCATTATACAAATAAATGTTCTAAAAATTATTACATATTGTTCAGTCAATATTTTTAACATAATCTTTGCCCTGCCTTCACTGCCAATTTTGTTGTTATTGTTGTTAGATGCTATCTATGACTCCTAATGACTCTGTAAATAGCAGATTGGAACCTTGGCCTACCCTGCACCATCGCCATGGTCTCCTCTAAGTCAATTTTAATGGTATTGGCCCTGGGGGGTTTGGAGCAGAACTACCTCATGCAGTTTCCTCTGCTTTAATCCTTACAGAAGTTAACTGCCATATCTAAGATTTCAGAAAACAGGTCCTTATCTGTACTGGGGCACATATGGAGCCTCATAGGTCAATTAGTATAAATAGTCTAGGAAAGGTCAGATTTTTAAAAGTCTTCCTCTTATTTTTTTTTTTTAACCCTGAAAAATTTTCTTATTTAGTTAAGGGCAAATACATTCAACATAGTAATGGCTATAGAATAAAATTTTCTTATTTAATTGGTACTGCTATCAATCCAGAGTTCAGCTCCAGTCTTATCTAATGGTATACCATATGAATCATTCATTTTGTCTTAGTTCTCCCAATCAGTTATCATCTGCTTTATTCTTAGTCTCATTTGCAAAATATTTAAATAACAATCAATCATCAATATTTACCAGAGGATATAACATTTCTAAATAGAGATCAAACACATGTTCCCAAAAGAGCAATGCCTAAGCACTTAACAATCTGTTCTTGGTATGGTGCTTGTTTTCATTATTATTTCTGCATATTGCAAGGCAATATGTCACTTTAATGACTAAGGTGTGCCTTACTTATAACAATGGTACTTTCAGTTGCCTCACATACATGTTTAAGCTAAATTGGGAGACTGAAGAATTATTGATGTGTTGGTACTGCAACAATGGTGAAGAATATTAAATAGATCATGGACACAGAGTGCCTTGGTTCTAATTTTGTTTGGAGACTGCGGAAGCAGCTGAATGCTCTAAGATGGGCGTCTCTTCTTTGGTAAGAGCCAATGTGAATATTTGGTTGTGAAGAAGTGTGAAATGAAGGACCTCATGGAGTGCCTTGGTTTTCAATTTCAGTGGGTCTCTCAGACCTGTGGCCCTCGGGCCTAGTGCTGTTATATTTTGGAGGAACATACTTCTAAATTATATAGCACTTTATCTTAAGTTTTCTGTACTGATATAATATGGGTTTTCTATGACGCTGAGCCTTGTGCCTTTGTGGTATTAAATGCCATAATGGTTGCCCCTGGTGCACAATGTTTGGAGGAACTCCCAGTTTAAGACAGCTTTGGAAGCAGAAGTGGCATCCACTTCCTAAAACATATGCCTTTGGAAACGTTATGAGCATGGAGAATAGACAGTAGTTATAGAAAGACTTCAGGTCTTTTGTTCGTAGAGTCACTATGAGTCGTCATTGACTCGATGGCAATAAACAAGAACAATATAAGAAGGAAGGGTAGCTAAAACCCTCCTTATAAATGAGTGTGTTAGACCTTTATGTTGCTCACTTTGGGCATGTAGCCAAGTATCAATTGCTGATAAAATATATCAAGTTTGGTACTATAAAAGGTAAGCAAAAATTAAGAGATCCTCAGTGCATTGGAATGACTCAATGGCTACAACACTAGGCTCAAGCATTAACTATGATTATATTGTTGTTATTATACATGTCATCCATTTGGCTCTAATGCTACGTACAGCAGAACAGAACCATACTTAGTCCTCTACCATCCTCACAATGTCTACTGTGTTTACACCTATTATTGTGAGTGGCAGATAACTGAGCATCATTTCATCCTATTATCTATAATGTCTCTATGGGTGGGAATTGCCATGATTGTTCCTATAGGAAATACATTCTTGTTCTAAAATTACATGGTACTTATTGACTCAAATTTAACTTGAGAGTAAAATCCTTTACCATTGACTACAACTCTCACTAAAAACATCTAAATAAGTGACTTGAAACAGATGGAACATTATCAGAGTGCAAAGATGGAAAAAAAAAGCAAACCAAAAAACCAAAAACAAACCCAAACCCCACAACCAAACAATACTTGACATCAGTTAAGTCCATGTGAAATGGGCATTGGGTCTTGTCTTTTCTATGCAACATGCCTTTGAATTCTGTTAACACAGACTACATGGTAATTTAATCAAAATATTCCCCAAAGTTTTACCACAATAACAAGTCTGAATTATGTTAGTATTTGAATTCAAAGTCTAGAAAATGTGCTGCAACTGAATGGGCTCCAGATTCAGAGAAACGTGGATACAAAATTAAATGTTTGAGAACTTCAACACAAAGCACAAGAACCCAGCCAGGAACTTAATTGTCTTAAACAGCTCAACTCTTATAACATACCCAGAAAGTAGACATTCAACACAAAAGAGGAAGGAAAAGAGGCTCTGAGACCTTGGACAACTAGGAAAGAAATACACTTTAAATGTCAGTTGTTAGGTTTCACTCTTTTTGCTACCTATCTGACCCACCAAAGCCATCTAAACCAATCAGCCTTAGTACTTTTATCTGAAAATGGAGAAATTTTGTTTCTAAAGCTTCTTGCATATCTAAAATGTAATCTTCTTAATCAATTGACACAATTAATTGATTACCAAGAGAAGCTTTTGAACTCTTAGCCTCTCTATTATCAACCAATTTACATATTTTCTTTTTATCAATGTTATATTAAAGTGTTATCTATGAAAATGAACCTATCTCTAGTCCTATTCACTTGAGACACACAAATATGTTTTTAAAATAGTGTTTAGTTTAAATTAGTTGAAGAGAAAGCAAATAATTTGACATCAAGCAAATTTTTTAAACACAAAACTCCCTATTGTATTAATTGAAGCTTAAGAAATCTTCCTGCTAAGAGACTTGGAGAACTCCCTTTGGATTGCTTGAGAAGCTTTCAGAACAATTAATTCCTTGCCACAGTGCTCTGTGGGCACAATCCTGAAGATGAAAGTTTCAGTGGTCTGTTTATAGAGATGACTCCTTAGGGAAGGTCCTGCTTCGTGCTGCCATATAGCATGGCATATCAACAGGAGTCCATTAGAAATGGCTGGCAGTCTTCCTTTCATACTCTTCAAATCAGGCAAAACACAACTTAAAAAGGAAGAGGAGGGTGGAACTAGGTATAAGTTTAAAAATTCAATTTTGTAATTCTTCAAAGATATGCCTGAAAATAAGTTAGCCTTTTACTGTCCCTTGTGTTTAGTGCATATAATTACTTTGTTATTGTTGATTTAGTTTGGCCAAACTACTTCTAACTTCAAGAGAATGTTGTCTATTCTGCTCTTTTTGTTCTGAGCTAGGACAAGATGATAACAGTGGCTGGCACTAGTGAGTTAATTTTATAACCAAAACTGACATTCTACTCAAGTACCCACAATTTAAAAGAGTAATGAATTGTCAGTTTTAACTGGAAAGGGGTTTTTATGTGATTTTAGAAGTCTTTTGAATATTTATTTTGTTCCACTATGCACAAATCTGTATAAAATTTATCTTGTTAGTTGCAAATGTAAGTCTCCTTTGGCCAGATTTAGAAAATAAATTAGACTTCACAAGCATTATAAATACTAGATCAATATATTAATATTAAGGTGGTGTTTGAAAGATTTATTAACCAGTAAAAGACAGCTAATATTACATCAGAAATATTAAGCATGTTTAATCAAAGTGATCAAGTGTATTTATGTGCAGAATCTATATATAGTATGGAGTTTTACTTAAATAATCTACAGATTCAATAATGTCTATCATATGATTAGATAATTATAGAGGGAAAAACCAGCAAGACGTTAAAACTTAAAGTGGCAGATGGTAGAAGACAGTGCTTCTTGTCTAAAAGGAGATTTTATTTTCCTCATGACTGGTTTTGAAATATAACCCCACAAAGTCAGAAATCATATGTCAGACAAGTAATATTCAATAAAGTTTGCCATTCATTCAACAAATATTTAATTAGTGCCCACTGCAGCTCAAATCACATGCTAGATGATGGTAATAAACTTTAAATAATACAGAACCTCCAATTTCAGAGTCTTAGAATCCAGTTTAAAAATAGGAGAAAAGTTAAATATAATTGATAAGTGAACATAAATGCTGGCATGTTTTATAAAGGCTCTGGGTTCAAACAAGATTTGCCCGTGGATTTCTAATGGTGGGAGTTGCATGGTTAACATGCTTTTGGATATTCATGCTCACCCAGAGACACCTCAGAAGGAAGATCAGCTATTTTCAAAACATTACTTATTAAAATATTTACAAAGCATAGAGTTATAAGGAGGTCACCACGAGGCAATATTTATTTGTTTTGCATCAGTGTCAAAAACAATTGAATTTAAAACACTGGTGGGTTTCACCTATGTAGGATACCTTGGATTATCTACATCCTGATAACCTGGTTATCTACATAAAGAAGGTAAAAACCATTGGGAACTCTCTGGAACACAATTCTATTCTGAAACCCATGCATTTCCACGAGTCAGAATAAACTCAACAGCAAGTGTTTTTTGTTTGGGTTACTTTCCCCCTCTTGTTAATAACTGCTTTTGCTGTGCGCCATTGAGTCTAGTATAGTGATCCCGTTGGACTGAGTATAACTGCTCCTGTAATTTTTAGGTTATAATCTTTGTGAGAATACATTTTCTGTCATGGAGGTACTAGTAGGCTTAAATTATAAGCGTTTTCTTTAGAGTTGAGCCCTTAAACCATTGTAACTGAAAGGATATTTTTATGGGCAATGACAACAAAGTGAGATGTCTATTTTGTGCAAATAACTCTAAAGATAGGCTTGATTTCCTCATTTTATAGATAAAGTGAGTGAATTGTTGTAAGCTTGAAGTACTTATTGGTATGTGCTGTCAAGTTGAGAACACAAAGCGACCCTATGAACAAGCGATCTGAACACTGTGCTATCTTGAGCTATCCTCATCATCTGTGACATCACCAAACATTGCTGCCATCCCTGTGTCAATCCATTTCATTGCAGTGTTCTTTCTTCTGCTGTTTCTACACCTTCTCAAGCATGATGCCACTTTCCAAGGAACAGCTTGTCCTAACAATTTTTCAGAATATGTGGGATGAAGCTTTGTCATCTATGAACACTTTGTTCTTTTGGCAGTTCCTGGGATTTTTTTTTTTTTTTTAGTTCATGGGATT